AATGTATTACTTGGCTTTAATTTGAGTATGTTTTTCGCGTTGGAACGAATTATTTGGTTTTACATGTAATCGTATGGGAAAAGATGATCCACCTTACGACATTTTCATGATACGATCTCAGTTTCGGAACGGATTAATTTCGTATCCTGAGGTACCACTGTACTAGTAAGGCTGTAGAAACCTTTTTATGAGGAAGAGTTAGTCAGTCTTTCTATGGATGATTTTAGATGATATTGTTTATGCTTAGTAAGTGGTGGTGGTGTGTTCTTTTGGGGACACACTGATCTTGAGCTACTCCAGTGTATAACTCCAAAAGAATAAGTGAGTATATAGTGACAACATAAGTATTATGTTGTCCCTGTACTCACAACTCCATTGTTTTGCATACTATTAATAATATGCAAAACATACTATTAATAGCTTTAATAGTATGTTTTGCATTTAGGTGTGTTTTTAGAACTGCATGTAATCTGTTTTGTTATTTGAGTGTTAACCTCTGTTTTATCTGGGCATGTTCTGTAAGTTTGGCTTATTGGAATTGTAAATACAGAAGCCACTCATTATATTGCACAGTCATCAAGTTGACTGAAAATGTTGGAGTCTTTTTTATTTAAACTTCTATCTTAGAGTTTTCATTGTTGATTGAATCAAGTGCAGGTAAATAAGAGTTTATATCATGCCTCATAATATCATACAGATTAGGATATTGTGTTTTTTTTTCCCCCTAAATTTCAAGTACTTGAGTCAATAAATTTTAAAATATCAATTGCAATTGAATTTCTTTTTGCAACAAAATACAGTATTTTCTTCCTACCATTGTGATTGAAATTATCACTGCGGGTGAAACAATAAATTTGTCAAGATCTAAATAAGCAAAATAAATGGACAAATCAATCATCATTTTAAGTTTTTCTTTTTGATATTAAAAGTTGTTTTAAGTACTGTCCCCTCATTTACAAGTGTCTGTGAATTTGAAATGTCACCTATTTTTGTGACTTGATGCCATACCATCAGTTCATGTAAAGATGTGAAATTTTGATTTCACCTGTAATGTGTAAAGAAAAGATTTCTTTATTTCTGAATGGAAAGTTCTAAAATTTTTTACAGTAGTAACTTTATTTTGCTTTTTAGAGAATTTTTACTCTGTAATTTTATAAGTTTTGTTGTTCACTATTTAATTTCTTAAAATAAAAAATGTATAAATTTTATACAAATTTTTAATAAGCAGTTTATTATGAGATATAGTACTATATAATAAAATTGCAACTGATATCACTATAACACTTGCATAACTTACATGCAGGTTGTTACAGGAGTGGAGTCCCAGACAGAAATTTATCCAACTTTTGGAGAAAGATCTTATCCACTAGCACTTTCAGTAGTGTAAAACTACTATCATCGGGTGGTACATAGAATACTATAGTTTAAGCTTTCCGAACGATATTCTGACAGTTTTACAAATTTCAATATCGAATATTTCGAACGATGTTTCTGATGGTTCAGCTGATTATGGTTTTATAACATCTACTGCACACCGGATTGTATAAAATAAATATCTATCTAAGAGATAACCGGTTTAACAGGGATATGGTATACGTAGGATCGACTAAACGTTCATTAGGGGTTAGGATAAAAGAGCACATCTCGGATGTACAACGTAACAGACACACAACTTCACTCTCCACCTATGCCACTGATCCCGAAATAGTGGCAGACATCAATAGAGCGCAGATAATTGTCACCACACCGCACATTCACTATCTAGAATGGTTGGAGGAGATGGAAATTTTTAGAGCATACGACACATCCACTTGTATTAATTCAAGAGACGAAATCAGCCTTTCCATGGCATGGCAAAACCTACTACATACAGAGTAACAGCGAAATACTATTTATTAAATATTAAAATAAAA